AACAATATGGCACAAGCACCAACTTCCTTATTAAGACCCTAAAACTCAAGAAATAAAACCAAGACCCAATAAATGGGATAGCATTAAATTAAAAAGCTTCTGCATAGCAAAGGAAACAATTAAAAATTGAAGAAGGAACCTACAGAATGGGAGAAAATCTTTGCCAGCTATCTGACAGGGGATTAATAACCAGAATATAAAGAATTTAGAAAACTTAACACTAAAAAAACTAACAATTCACTCAATAAATGGGCAAAAGATCTAAAGAGATATTTCTGAAAAGAAGAAATGTATGAAAAAAATGTTCAAGATCCTTAGCAATCAGAAAAATGCCAAACAAAACTACACGGAGGTTTTCTCTAATCAGTCAAAATGGCAATTACCATGAATACAAATAACAATTACAGACAAGGATGTGAGAAAAAGTTCACTTATACATTGTTGATGGGATTGCAAATTAGTACAACCATTTTGGAAAGCAGTATGGAGATTTCTCATAAGACTAGAAATCGAATGACCATATGACCCACCTATCCCACTTCTTGGTATTATTCTAAAAGAACTAAAATAAGCAAACTAATGTGATACAGGCACATCAATTTTTGTAGCAGTACAATTCACCATAGTCAAGTTTTGGAACTAGTCCAAGTGCCCATCAACAATAAAATGTGGTATATATACACACAACGGAGTACTACTCAACCATAAAGAAGAATAAAATATCATTTGCTGAAGAACATCATGCTAATTGAATAAGCCAAACTCAGTCAAGGATCAAATGTTCACTGTCATATTTGGAAGCTAGAAAGAAAACAAGGAATAAAAAAGGGTGGATTTCACAAAAACAGAAGGGAGATCAATAGAGAAGAAGTAAGGGAGACCAAGGGCATGGGAGGAGGGGAGGCAAAGGGCAAGAACTGGGTAATAAAGTTGAGAGTATCATGCTATATGCATGTATGGATATATCATAGTGTGTTCCAATTTTATATATAAGTATAATGTACCAGCTAAGTAAATAAGTAAATGGAAGGAAGACCAGAGTAAAGACATGGGGGTCAAGGGGAGGGAGAAGGGAAAGGAAGAGCACAGTACTGAGGATTAAAATGGAAAAAAACCCCTATGTATAGGCATTTACGAACATGTCAAAATGAACCCCACTATTATGTATAATTACAATGCACTAAAATTAAAAAAGAATTCATTCAGCTATCCCTGTGTTATGGAACAATTGATTCCAGGGCTTTTAGAGCTAAAAGAAATCTTTTTATATTACACTGCATTAGCTGTCTTCCACTGGTCCCCATTAGATATGGGTTTCTTGTAGGCTGAAAACATGATGGTTACTGTCCTCAATACTCAATATCTGTTATAATTTGAGCATAAAATATACACTCAAAACATGATTCATGAATGCATGAATAAACCCTGGCAATCACAACACTGATTGCCTTCTTCACATTGATCCTTGCACTCAAATTCACAAGAAAGAGGTTGAACTTTCAAAATTAGTATATTTTATTAACAAATGACCATGGGGTGATCATTTATAGTAGGGAAAGTAGGCCAACTTCTATAAGATCCTGAGAAGATGAAGATGTATCCTCTCTAACATGATAAGAGCCAGGGTTAGGATTGGTGGTATTGGTGGTGATAGTGGTGGTGTGTGTGTGCCTGTTGTGTGTACAGGTTAGAGGAGGGAACTCAAAGAGGAAGAGTAGTTTTGTGGTGCAAATATTGTACCCAGATATCTAAGCTGTCACAGAACAAAATGGTCACTTACTTTTGAATTCAGATTTTAGCTTCATGGAAAAATATGAATAGTAAGAACAGGCTATACGCCCTATAGCACAGATTATCTTGTATAAAAAAAAATCCAAAGAGGTCTGTGTTTTAATTTTTCCTCTAATTAACCCATTTCTTAATCTAGTAGCTAACAGAAGCAGACTCAGAATTCAAACTATAACATTAAACAGCTGAAATGCTATTAGCTTAGATCCAGGGCTTTGAAAGGACACAGGAAGAAGGATGTGCTGGGGGAAGAGATCTGATTCTGCCACAAACAGCTGTGGAATCCCAGGCAAACCTGTTCTCTCCCGGGGCCTCACTTTCCTTTCTATGAATTAGACAATTGGATCTGGTGACAGCTAAGTTTCCTTCCAGATTTAGGATTACATAAAGCTAAGCAAAATGAGAGTAATCGTCTAGGGTGTCAATTTCAGATTAAAGAGGCATGCTCATCATCTTATATTTATATAGTCTGAGAAACCCTGCTACAAATTTATTTTGAGAAAGCAAGTAGTTGATTTTCTAAAATCAGCATACACCAACTGGCATTGGTCCTGTTTGAGTGCTCTAGATGAATCAAGTATCTCTATGAAAATCCCAGAGTCAAAACTGGTACTGGGGGGAGGAAAGACAAGGTAGAAACCTGTGGAGTCCTTTTTGGTGAGGATTCTGTTTAGGCTTTGCTAGTCCATTTCATGTTCTTGCTTTTTTTTGTTGCTGTTGTTGTTTTTGGGGGGTGGGTTCTTGTTTTTATCACATTGCTCAAGAACAAGGCTCTTACAAGTTCTTTCCTTCTGATCTTACTATATGCATGACCCCTATTTCTTATTCTGTGTCTCTTACAGTCATTTCCATGCTGAGGTCAGCCCTCTAAATACTAGTTAAGTATTAACTGAATGTCTGGAAACCAAATACTGCATTTGTATATTCTTAGGGATTTTATCTATCTGGAGAATTTCCCAAGGAAAGTTAAGTATTTCTGAGTCTCATTTAAAAGAATGTTCTCCTATCTACACAATCTTCAACTATTACTTTTTTATTTTGTCATCATCTCTTTCTTTAGGTGTTTTTAATATATAAAATATATAATGGATGTATATATAACATATGTAATGCATGTGTGTATCTATATCTATCTATATATTTATATATTTTTTAATTTATTTTTTAGTTGGACGCAATACCTTTATTTTATTTATTTATTTTTATGTGGTGCTAAGGATTGAACCCAGGGCCTTGCACATGTTAGGCAAGCACTCTACCACTGAGCCACCACCCCAGCCCAATATATATAATTTTTGGTACTAGGGATTGAACCCAGGGCTGCTCAACCACTGAGCCACATCTCCAGATCTTATTTTATTTTTTTATTTTGATACAGGGTCTCACTAAATTGCTTAGGGCTTTGCTAAGTTGCTGAGGCTGGCTTTGAACTTGTGATCCTTCTGCTTCAGCCTCTCTAGTCACTGGGATTACACACACACACACACACACACACACACACACACACACACTACCACCCTGGTTGATGGTTATATTTTTATTTGTCATTTAAGCATAAATATTTGAGTCTAATTAATACCATTTTCAAATAAATGCATTCATTTAACATAATACCATAGCCCTTCATTTATGTTTGCCAATCTTCCATAGCTTGATTAAAAACCTATTGCCAGTATATTTTAATCAAATTTCCTCTAGAACATTAACAATATTCTAAACATTCAATTTTTAAATAAGATACCAACATTCAGTAATTTTCCTTCCAGATTCATCCTATAAAGCCATTTCAATAGCATTACCTTATTTATCTCTATCCTATTAACGCAACTGGCTTTTCCCTGTTTACTACCCCAAGATTAAAAAAATTTTGTATCATGAAGACCAGCAACAAGTAAGGAAAATGGAAATAGAAATATCCACAAATGGGTTTAATTTTTCATCATATTTGTGATGTTACTGCAAGACAAATTCTAGAGTGGTTCTCAACAGTGTCTCTATATATTACAGTGAAATGCATCAAAATTGTCTTCTGAAATGCAGTTGACTAAATCTGGAAGGTTAACAATCTGTTTTATTGTTTGTTTGTTGTTTTAATCTCGGGGCTCCTGAGATACTAAAACTTCCAATAATAAGGAACTCTATGCTTGTTAGAGTGGTTGGCAATTCATGGCCCTAGAGAACCTGCCACCTTCAGGAAGTCCACTCCCCTCTTACTCCTGGTGTGCCTACCTAATATACAGGAAAGACAACTTTACAGCCAAGTGGAACCAAGGACAAGTTTAATTCAAGTACATTGTTTAATATCTATAACACAAACCTCCTGCCAGGAGGGGAAAGTAAGAGTTCAGGTGAAGAGGACATGACCTCAGGTGAGCATCAGATTAAATTCTGGGCTACATGGGGGTGGGAGAGAATAGAGAATATAAAGGGTGTGGGTGTGGCTTCTCCATACAGTACATAGATTTTTTTTTTGACCATTACATAGTTATTACTTCTCCCCTTCTGGCTGCTGGCACCTATATTACTTTTAAAAGTCCAGTCAACACTGATGAAGTTTGTGAGTATTACAAGAAGCTTGTGCCAGCAAGAGGAGCATGGTATAGTTAAGCATCAGGATCTCACTCAAGAGGTGAAGGAAAGGAAGGAATTTTGAATGTGATTAATTTTTTTTCTGGTAAATTAATGAGTTTTGCAGGTCAGGAGCAATGACCTTTTAAGGCCTGAGACACAGTTGGGGATGAGATGCCACAGAATAGTATTTCCATTAAAACTTTTAGAAAAAAACCCCATATAACTCTTTAGAATAATACTGATTTCAAATCAATACAAACAAAATCAACATCAAGCAAAGTAGGAAATGATTAGGCATATTTTCTTTTCAGACTGATGGTGAGCAAATATCCTGGACTTTGGTCCATAGACTCAAGATGTATTCGACAAATGTTTCTTATTCTTTTGCAAACTATGCTAGCAACTTTACCCTGTATCATAATATTTTAAAAGAATAACTTGATACAAGCAGTGACCTTTAAGTCATTTAACCTAATAACATTTCAGAAATTTATTCTTAAATGTAGGGTATTTCAGTAGTGTGGCCATGAGTGTGGTCTAACTAGAACACATGCTTCCTTGTTATAAGGTGGTGCCTTTGTTTCCCCAAGCTGGATTGCTTACACAGTGCAGACCAGAGTAAGAAATGCCCCATTGCCTACCTGACATAGAGGGAGCGTTTCTGATTGGTTCGCAGGGACCCAGACCCGGAGCTCATGCTGTGGTTCATCATCTGCTCCCGTAGGTCATGGATTTTGGCCTCAAATCGAGCGTAATCTGGGAATGGAAACAAAGATGGTAAATTTGGTTCTGTTCCTTTAGAGAGAGAAAGAGAGAAAGAGACACTGAGAGGGAATGAATTACTGTATAACCAAGGCAGCTACTCATCCCATCACTGGTTCCTTTCCCAAGCAACAGGGAGATGCTTAACTCCAGAAGAGTTAACTATTGCTAACTATTATTTTTTCTTCACAAGCTCTCACAAGAGAAGAAGAAATCAGTTACTTCACAAAAGTCACCAAGAAAACACTCTGCCATCCAACCCCAGCTTGTACAAAGTCCACAGGAAAGAGAGCAGGAATGGAAGGATGGGGGGCAGGATGGGAGGGTGGTCATAAACAGGCAAATGACATCCTCCTGGTAATAGAGATGTTCTCTATCTTAGCTGAAGTGGTATATATAGTTACCTGCAGATGTGATTAAATTACATAGAACTCTACACACACACACACACACACACACAAAGTAAAAGTGAAAAAATCTGTATAATACTGATGAGTTGTTTCAATGTCAATATCCTGATTATAATGTAGTGCTAAGTTTTGAAAAATGTTATTATTGAAAAACACTAAGTAAAGGGTATATGGGACCTCCTTATAATATTTCTTACAACTGCATGTCAGTCTATTTATTTCAAAGTTTGAAATTTATTTTATGAAAGAGAAAAACAGAAAACAAGCCAAAGGAATTTCCAACACTATGAGGTGTTGAGTCTCCAGTTGCCCTTAGCATGATAGACAAGAGGATCACTATTTGGATGACTGAATAAAAAAATGTCATTTAGTTTGACTAAGTTTATTTCTGAGGAGGGCTACTAAAAGCTAATCACTAGTTATCATACTGCAACTGTCCCTACTTTGCACACATTACCAAACTTCATCAATTTTAAGATGTGCAATATAATTAAATTAGGAGAGAGATATTAAAATAGAGATAGAAAACATTGTTATATAAAACATATTTTAGAAATATTTGAACTTGATAAAAGTACATATGTTCCCCAAATCAAGGAAATAATAGGTATTGTATCATGCTACTCATAGGAAAAATTTGCCATTTTAATCTAATAAGAAAGATAGCACAAAAAAGTTTTAAGATACTTATTAACAAAATTATCATGTAAAAATAAAGTTTTTGAAGTTTCAATATTCTTGATCACAACCTAAACATTTTTCTATCATGGCCTTAGCAGAGGAGTGCCTTGCTTTAAGAAAGACCAGTAGGTAAAAATGGGCATGGTGGCACCTGCCTGTATTCCCAGGCTCAGGAGGCTGACGCAGGAGGATCACAAGTTTAAGGCCAGCTTAGTGATGCCCTAAGTAACTGAGCTAGATCCTCTTTTTAAACAAAATATAAGAAAGGCTTGGATGTAGCTCAGTGGTAAAACATCCCTTAATTCAATTCCTAGTAAGAGAGAGAGAGAGAGAGAGAGAGAGAGAGAGAGAGAAAAGAAAAACCAGTAGGTGAGAGGCTTAAATTACCCACAGACAAATGTGAAAATGTTAATTCAAAAAATAAAATATTATTTTAATTACAAAGATGCTCATGATGAAGAATTTTTATAGAGGTCTTCAGTACACTTCAAAAACCAAATTGATGTTCAGTTCAATTTATTCACAACTTTTCATGACAATAAGGATCACTAAATGAATATAATAAAAGAGGGTCTATTTAGAGAGTGTTTCAAGTTCCTTATTAAGAAGTACCATAAAATTAAATTAAATTTCAACTTACTGAATATTTATTGGTTATTACAGGGTGGGCTTTCCTAAAAAACCTGATTAGTTTCTGACAATAGACAACAGGATAATAAGCTCCAAACGTTAATTATGTTTAAAAGTTAGTGCTCTAAAGATAAGCCATAAGAGTTGGCTGGTAATTTCTGGTGCTTAAACAATGTCTGGCTTATCTAAATTTGGATGGTTTCCTGTTAAAACTTGGCTCTGAAAAATTAAGTCCTAAATGGTTAAAAAGCAGAACACCTATTTAACATAGGCTTTACTCCCCATAAATTAAGACAATTTATTTTATTCCATTTTACTAGCAAGAAAAAACATTTATTTATCTCCATTGATATGATACTATTTGCAGCTTTAAATCATTTTGAGCAAGCCATATTCTCTTGCTACACTAAAACAGGCAATTAACATTTATTGCTGGCCACATGTCAGACTATGTTCAGAGCTTCATGGGCCTTATGTCATTTCTTTATGTTACAAAATTAAATCTATGTATGTTAAAAAATTTGAACTACATAAGAAAATACAGAATGAAAACTGAAAAATCCTCTTATGCCTTCTGCCTTTCCTTACCTTCTTTCTCACTGTTGTACTTCCCCATACCTCACCCTAAATGGACATGCGTGGTTTTATGTTAGATATGTTTGTGGGTATATGCTTATATGTGCACACATATGTCATGCCTTGAGACCATGTCTACATGTTGTGCTGAGATTTTTCTCCCATTTTTAAAACAGTGTAACATGGATCTTTTTTCTATCTTCTATCAAATATATAAGTATCACTTTAAAAAATATCTTTAATTATAATCCCTAGTTTAGACTAATTTAACAATTCCCATGTCATTAGATACTAGGCCTATCCAGTTTTTTGCTTCATAAACAGGGATCTCAGTGTATGTATGCACATTTATGTGTGCACAGAACCCATTCGGTCTTTCTTAGCATTTCCCAGAGAAGAGCATGATCTTGTCTGAGACACACAGCATGAATTTTTAGCTTCCTCTGATCCATGCTCAACAATGCTATTTGATAAATATCACCTATCATCCCAGGTACCACTAAATCTCCCTCTGAAGACATTGGACTTTCTCCTCTACAAACCTGATGAATTTACAATCAATGATAAAATCATGAAATTCGTCCATCTGTCTGCCTAAGCATTTTATTCAGTGCTACTTACCTACTCCATTTGATCAGGGTGCTACTTTATTACATTTATCATACCAACCTGCAGCTATTTGAGCAGTTGCCTATCTTCCCATTAGACTGAGCTCTCTTAGGTAGATGCCCTATTTTACTCTCTATGGAATTCACTGTGCCTAACATAGTATCTGACATGCAAGAGGCATTTAATAATAGGTGCTCAATACACATTTTCTGAATGAGTGAATGAGGAATGAGGGAATGAACAAAATCATTAGATAAAAAAACTCCATTATAAAAATGCCTGCAAGTATTGAAATTGCCCACTTTCAATGTTATGTTTTATAATGAAGAAAGACAACGTGCATATCCTCTAGTACAAACTTTTTCTAGAATGAAAATGCAAATGCAACTTTCTAACCCCTTTGTTATTTTTACTGTTCTCCAGGCAGTCTCTACTCTTCTCATCTTAGTCAGATCACACATTGGATACATTTCTTTGATATTTAATGTATAAATACAGCCAGCTCTTTGCCAGGTTCTTGTAAGGTTTTTTTTAAGGTTCTTATAATTAAGACAAGCAATACCACAGAAAATACTTGGCTTAATAATAAGTTGTATTTTCCTAACCTGTATGGCTAATTAGATACCCAAAATATTTCCTGCAATGCTTTTGGAATGTTTGGCTGGACTTGTATATTCTGGAGTGTTTAAATTCCCCACAAGAAATGATTTATTGCATTTGCTGAATGTGCAATTCATCCTATTCTTTACTTCTCCATTTTGATGATTATCTTGAACATAAATCTTGAGTTCAAAGGTATCTATCCCTCTCTGTGCTCCTTTTTGAAAACCAAAACTGAGGTATTGTCATCAGAGCAAAATCGGATCTAGGTTTACAAATACAAATGGTATATGTTTTCAGGTGGGGAGTTGTTTGTCTCTAATTTCTCAGAGATTAACAAGTTTGCATTTGAAGTGCTCTAGAAATAAACAAGAGATTTTAGTTATATACATTGTGAAATAATAATACTGAAAATTACATTTTTAACTAGTCAAAATACAAGAACCTACCACATCATTCAATAGCCATCCTCTTTCCCTTTCCAAAATGTTTCTTCCCTATCTATAATCTCCCCCTTGGAATATTTTTCAACTGAATTCCTAATACTCTTTCTCAATTACAAACTTTATGAGAACATTCAAATTAGGATATAAAGAGGAATTCATGTTTACTAAGCACCTCAACAGGCTAGGATCTATACCACATATGTTTTAAATATTATTCCTAACAAAGTTCCAAGATAGGCATATTATTTTAGAGATAAAGGAAACAGGTTCAGAGAGGTTAACAAACTTCATCAAAGTCACAGAGCCACTAGGTAACACAGCACAATGGGACTCAGAGCTGGGATTCAACCTTGAATACCTGTGGATCCATTTTGTTTCTATTACTTTACAATGTCACATTCTTTACAGTGTAAGACATCCCTGTGTCTCTACCTCTCCCTCCTGACATTTTTCTCTTCTCTTCATCTACTCTATTAATTATGTGCATGCTGGTCTTCTCTACAGCACCCTACAGCTCCTCAGAGTTGAGATGCCTCATTGATTTCAGTTCCCCCAATCTGAGATGCCTCATTCATCTTCAGCATTCTACATTATGTGTGCGTAGGACTCTAGTAGGCACTTTGCGTATAGTTATGAACAAGACAGAACCTTAAAGAACTTGCTTCCAGAATGGAACACTGGCAAGGAAGTTAAGTACGATAATGCTGAGGTGGAGAACAACATTAAAGAGGCAATACCTGCTCTGTCTGGCTTTGCATGTAGTAGATGTTAGGTGAATGTTTTTTTACATTACAAGTTATTTATTTCTTGGGTTTTCCTCTGTAACAGAATCAAAGCACTGAAAATCAAACTTCTAGGCAAATATTTTTAGGAACATTACCTCCAGCTAATTTGTTCCCTCCCCCTTTATATATAAGCCACATTTCATTTCTTTTTCTTTCCCCTTTTTTTCTTTCCTTCCTTCGCTCTCTACATTCTTAAGTACTAAATGTGATTACCCCTACCTAGATATATTATTTGGGGTATTTTAAACTTTTTTTTT